TTTACCTCCTGGAAAAATATATATATATATACATACACTGATAAGTATGATCTTTTCAATAAAAATAAACTGGTTGAATACATAAGGTCATGAAGGCAGAGAGCTGGCAACACAAGCCTCATTAAAAACTGTGTTTTGAATAAGTTATGATTTTTAAATTATCTGTGGTTTTTTTTTTTTACATATGTGAAGAAGCCACTGGAGCATCATGCCTTTAAGTTTATTTACCAAACAACCATAATTTTTTTTCTTTCACTCGTAAAAATATATCTGTTCAAAGCAGGACAATGACAACCTGATATCAGACAGAAATGTCTCATGATATTAAACAGCATGTCAGCTCCATCATATGGTTAATTTTATTTCAATCTGCTTTTCATACTTTTGGCCACAAGATGGTGCCAAAGAGGACTGTGATGGAAAACTTTGAGTAATGAACCATTTTTCAAAACAAGCTTTAGAAAAGCTTCACTTGCCCATCACTATTAAAGACCCTGACAATCTGAAGTACTTGAACTTTTTATTAAAAAGAATAGCTGACGTGGCAGTAAAAAGTACTTACAGACAGGATTAAACAGGAGCAGACACTGGGAAGCAAGCATGCGTGGTCACGGTCACAACCAAGTCACTGCCAAGAAATAGAGACAGAAGATGAAGGAGTAGGCCTACTATTCAGCAGGAAACACGAAGCACCTGGGGGAGAAACATGAGGAACAGGTGAGCATGGGTAGGCCCGAAGCAGAAAAGCCAAACAGAAAACTCAGGCAATCACAGAAATCAGAAGAACCTGGAGACAGAACCCAAGAAAAAAAGATAATCCAGAAAGAACAGAATAAGAGAATAACAATGAGACACTCCGAACATCTTCTGTTTGGACAAATTGTGTTCAAATCCAACTGGATTGATGAACAGCTAGTTAGCAAGTCCAACGTATCTGCAGGAAGAAAAGCTGCCCCACAGTGTTTTCTGTACAGTCGGTGGAGAGAAAGCTTCAGGTTCGGGTTTTGGACTTGTGAACAGCATTATATTAAAAGCACAAAGCTTCCTGCTTATCTGTTAAAATTCCTCAAAAACCAACAAGGGAAGTAAAGCTGTTAGGTCAGACAGCTTTCAAACTGCAAAATGTGTTTTTGTGACTTTGGCTCTGTTGTTTCAGAACAATCAGCTTTTACACATAAACATACATTTTAGTTGTAAACACATTTTTATAGGTATTACATTTTTCTGACTGGTTCTGCTAAGAGTTCTGATGTATTCCAGCTAAATTAAATTTACATCTTTTAAATCATTTGATAGGCTGGTGGTCCCCCTGGTAGTCCTGGTCCATCTGGACCCCCAGGTTTTCCAGGAGAAAAAGGTAAAAACGATGCTATAACTACTGAAAAATGCTTGTGTGGGTTTAACAAATCAATGCTTATTGTTTATTTGTTGTCCTTTCAATTGTTAGGTTTCCAAGGTCCTCAGGGAGAGCCTGGTATACCAGGTAAAATACCTAACAGAATATGAACACTACTTGCACACGTTAATTTGATCATAATGTAAAACAGCTTGAATTGGATGACTCTACTCTCTGATGCTGTTGTGTTCCAAATGATACTGCTGATTCAGCAAGATAGCTAACTAAAAAAATCACTTCAGCGCTAGCAACAAAAATATATTGGTAAAGAAAAGTTAGAAGATTCCATTTTGGCAAAAAATTTCAATTTTGCTTTTATTGTAATGAGCACAAATTTCACAATGCTTTAATGTGGGATGTGTAAAGTAGCATCAAATGCTAGCACAAAACATTAAACCCAGATAGAGATCATTATTTACATGTTTTTTTCAACAAAAAGTAAAAAAAGTGAAAGAAACAGTGTTCACGTTAAACAACCCAGGCATTTTTGCACTTCAGGTCGCCACATTGAAGGGCCTCGTGGAGACAAGGGTCAGAAAGGAGAAATAGGCGAGAAAGGCGATAGAGGCGTAGAAGGACTGTCTCTTCCTGGACCGCCTGGACAACAAGGACCAGCTGGACCCCCAGGGCCACCCGGACCACCAAGTATGATTTCACCAAACTAGAAAACACAACATCTATATACAACAGTGGGTCTAACAAAAACTGTGTGCTTGTCTGTGTTTTTCTCAGTTGACCCAGAGGAGTGTAACATTAAAAGGGGAGACCCTGGCCCACCTGGACCTCCAGGGTTAACAGGAGAAGTAGGACACAAAGGTAAGGATGACTGGTGTCTCTGCAGATTGAATAAATGAAATTACAAATTAATGACCATGTTTCCACATAAAGTTCATGTGATTTTTCAGTAGTATTTCCAAAGCTATCGCAGATATTCATCGTTGCACTATTGTTTCAAAACATAGTTTCTTACTGATGATGCTTCCCCCACTTGTAGGTGACAGAGGAGATGCCTGCATTAGTTGTGAAGGCACTGGTCCACCTGGAATCCAGGGCATCAAAGGGGAGCAAGGTAAGAAGCTGTAGGCTCATGAATAGCACTAAAGACAAGTCAGGTTTCAACCAAAACCCCAACAGATGAACCAAATTCAAGAACAAAACCAAATCAAAACCACAATCAAAACAAAACTGAGACATTATGTTCTGAAAATACAGCACACAGTTATAATCCAATTTTATCTCCCGGTTGTCTTTTTCCTCTTTATGTTGGTTTTAATTGTTTATATTTGAGCTTAATTTCTTTGTTTGAGTGAAAATGTGTATTCTTATTGTTTTTGACATCAATTATTTATAGTCCAAAGCACAAAAATGAAGGTTAAAATGAGATTTGAATGAGTTTAAAATGTGCACTCTCCCCTTTTTACTAGGGTTGGGTGATATTGGCAAAAAAATTAATCGCGGTAACAATTAATTTGACAATTAATCCAATGAGTCCCTGGACGCCTGCATGTCCTAGTCACATGACCAATTTAAATCACTCTAGTGGGAAATATTTGCTCTCTGTAAAAATCTGTTCCAAATTGCGTCCAAAGTACAGACTTCAGGCTATACATCGATTTTTAAACTGTGTTGATAGACCAAGTAAAACTGGAGTTATGATGTATTTATGATGAACAGAACTTATTTTTAAATTTTCATCTTATTTGAAGTGGAGAGGAGCATCGAGCGGACTGACCGGGGGAACCTCCAGTCAGTCTGCCTGGTGGCATTAATCATATTAATCGTCAATTACCAAAAAAATAATGACTTAAAGTTTTTCTGATGATTAATTGCACATACAATACAATTTATTTGACAGGACCTCCAGGTCCAGGTGGCTTCAAGGGAGAAAAGGGTCGCGCTGGCATTCCTGGAGAACCTGGTAGACCTGTGAGTAAAATATTCCATCAATGGAAACAAAACAGGAAGAAACATTTCAGAATAAAAGGCTGATATTTTTGTTACCCATGTCGTTTTTTTTTTTTTTTACTTTGTTTCTGTGTACAGGGTTCTGCAGGAACTCCTGGACTGATGGGAGCCCCTGGTGCTGTGGGTGAACCGGGAGATATTTTCATAGCAGAAGGTTTTAAGGGGGACAAAGGTCGTCCTGGTAATCCTGGCTTTCAGGGACAGCCAGGTCAGGATGGACTGCCAGGGAGAGATGGTATCCCGGGTCCACAGGGTCCCAAAGGAGAACCAGTAAGTGTATAGATGGGATTAACATTATCAGGTTGAAGTTATCAAGAGATGTGGTAACTATTCAATGTCAGTTTCTCTTTTCAATGCTTGCTGTTCCTGGTATTATTGTATCCACCAGGATTGCAACCTTCTAAAGACACTTTTTGTTTAAAGCATGAAAATTTTTTTTCACAAATAGTAATCCCGAAACTTTAGAAAATTAGTGACAGCAAATGCATTAGTAAATTATTTATTTTATGGTAAGTTAGGGTTTCATTTTACACAAGCTCAAGTTATTGGTAATACAAGAGTAAGCTGATACAAATAAGTTGAGCTTGTTGGAATAATGACACAAATGAAATATGTAGAACCAAATGCAACATGGAGCTTTTTAAAAACATGCTTTGTAATGATTCGGGGTCTCGTTTATAAAGGATTGCGTGGAAACCATWCTAAAAGTGAACGTACGGCCAAAAGGCGGAAATGGCGTATGCCAAAAAAAAATAAAAATTCCGATTTATAAAACCGTGTATGCATGTTTCTGCGCACTTTTCCTTTATAAATCACAGCCGCATGTCAGAGTTTGCGGACGAGGCCCCGCCTCAGGTTCTACCCTCTACACGCCCACATTCAACCATAAACAGTCAATGTAAAGTACCTCATGAATGTTAAGATGTATTCAAATCAGTCAGCTGATCAATGCCAACAAAAGTGATTGGTTCAGACGCTCCGACCGTCGTGCGTCTGGAGGATGACAGGTGCTGACTGACAGCTGCTCACGTGAACAGATTGTCTGTAATTAATACAGATTTTCCTTCATTTTGCTTTAGAGTAATCTAACGGTTTTTATAAAAAAAAAACCTCAGCTTCAAATTAATTTTCCATCAGAGCCTGCAGGATGATAAAAACAATAAAAATTAAATTAAATAAGTCAAATAAAATTAGAAATAGGTCCACCGCTCATCTCCTTGTCTTCTCTCCCTCCTGCCTGCTCTGTTATCCGCGGCAGACACCCCTGCCCTGCGCGCGCACACACACACACACACGCACGCACGCACGCACGCACGCACGCACACATGCACGCACGCACGCACGCACGCATGCATGCATCCCCCCGCGCACGCGACAAATACGGACTTTGAACGTGAAGTTTTATAACATCCACAATGGCGAGGTGGATGCGCCCTACGCGTGTATCCAACGTGTGACTTTTGCTGTCCTGCTGTTCTTGTTGGGGAGGGGTCTGTGGGTCAGGGAGGGGTCTGTGGGTCAG